CAATATTGGGGTGGAGAGATCTCTCTGGAGGACATTGTTGGAGACTCATGCAGATGAGATTTGATATCTTCCTTCAGGTCACTTACAATTTGCAGAGGAAGACAGGCATACAAACAGCGAGTTACAACATCAAGCAGAATGTCCGCCATGTTCAAGCAAGAAGGCCAAGTGAAAGGGCGGTTTGTGGAAGGGGGCGAATGGGGAGCTCCATGAAAATGCCGCAGACGAACTGGGGAAGTCTAGATCCCATTGCTGCAAGATGGGGAGTTGGTGGAAGATGTTCCCTAATGCCGCGGCAGCCTTAGCAAGGGGAGGACAACCCTATGATGACTAAGGGTGACCTACACATTGCCTACTGGCCCCACATGGAAGAAACTCTGGAAGCATAAAAGACAGCGATCACCAAGGAAGGTGTGGATAGTTCTGGATGACATACAAGTTTATAATTCCTACGTATCAAAATGCATTATAGACAGAATGAAAGTACACGTAGAATACTGGGGGAAATCTTCAAACATATAACCAGATGTCTCACATCCTTATTAATAATCTCATACAGGGGCACCTGGGTGGCTCGGTGGGTTGGGCCTCTGCCCTCAGCTCAGGTCATGGTCTCAGGGTCCTGAGATCGAGGCCTGCGTCAGGCTCTTTGCACGGCGGGGAGCCTGCTTCCCACTCTTTCTCTGCCTGCCTCTCTGCCTATTTGTGATCTCTACTGAATAAATGAAGAAAAATCTTTAAAAAAAAAATTATCTCATACACTTCAACAGGAAAACGTGAAGAACCCAACAGATACACTGACAAAAGGAAGTGGGCAAGTCCCTAAAAGAGTAAAATAAAGCCAGTAATATGCAGGAAAATATCCAGCCTCACTAACTATTAAAAAAATACAAATAAAACAGCAGGGAAATACTTTGAGTTAAAAATAAAAACCATGATAATACTTGGGGTTGGCCAGGATGTAGTTAAGAGGGGTGTATGTGTGTGTGAACACAGCTGGTGAGAGTGGAAATTGGATTAACTTCTAGAAAGCAATTTGGCAATATGTATCAAGGGCCTTTAAAATGTTTATACTCTTTGATTCAGTAATTCCACTTCTGGGAATCTATCCTATGAAAATAATCTGAAATGCGGGCAAAGGTTTATGCTCAAAGATATTCTTCAAAGTGTTCTTCTAAACAGTCTAACAACACAGTCCTTGACTAATGTTTAAATAAACGATGGTACCGATCCCAAAGGATCGTAGCCATTAAAAAGTGTCCTTATGGGGAATTTTTTTTTTTAATGGGGAATTTTTAAAGCTTGGAAAAACCTTGTGATATAACCGAATTATTTTAAGGCCTATATACATATGATACAACTATGCACACTTGGAAAGCGTAGGCCAAAAACATTAATGAGAAACCTACATTAAAAATGCTGGCCTCTGGGCGGTGGAATTCTGGGCATTGTTTTTGTTGCTTTTTACCCTGGTTTCAAACTTTTGACAGTAGACCTATATTTTTCAAATGAAGGAAGGCAAAGGAAACTAGGAGACATATTCAGGGAACGACAAGCAACTGCTTCACGTGGCACGCATGTGCTCACAGTTCTACACGCAGTGAAACGGAAGGACTGATCACAAGGTGTGAATCCAGCGTGACACGATTTGGGTCGGGAGGGACTTCACAGATTTTTTTATTTCGCTCATGTTGTCTTTGGTAGCGCTGGGAGTGAGGGGAATAAGATCCTCGTTATGTAATGGTCCCATAGAGGGCATAAGAAGAAAAGGTTTGGGAAATCACCAAGCAAGATCAAGGAGAATTTTTTCTCATTATCCTAAATGTCCTTGCGCTGAAGGAGGGGCAGAGAGGACAGGCAGGGTGGCCAGCAGGCAGAACACAGCAGTCTGCCTTCAGGAGCCGCACCCAGCTGAAGGCCACATGCCTGGCACTGCCTTTCACCCTCCCTTAGTTGGGACTCCCCCTCGTAATTGGGAACGACAGAGCTGCCCTGTCCTGGTGGTTATAAGGTTTGTGCACAAGTGGAGAAAGTGCCTGGCGCTGTGCTCGGCAGGGAGCTGGTGGGCAGTGTAGGACACCAGGTGTCCTTGCTGGGCCCCTGCTTCCGGGGACCAAGACCACAGCTGTCCCCAGCCAGTCCGCCTCCGTCAGGGCTTCAGGGAGCACACCCCTCCTCCAGCTCTGCCAGGGTGGGGAGACTGCACTTTCTGAGGACTGGCACCAGTTCCCTGGAAGCACCGTGTTGCCCAGCTTCCGAGATGCCGGGACTCACAAGTCCTATGCAGGATTAAAGCGATAAAATGAATTTGGCATTTTACCTTTGAAAATGAGCATCATGTCTCCTGTCGTTCCTTCTGTATTTTGATCCTGGGAGCTGAGTATTTGGAACTTGGAGGGGTGGGGTGGCTTTCCATGGTGCAGTCCCCTGCCCTTGGATCGGGAAGGGATTTGGAGGGAACATTGTCTCTAGCTGTCTCAAGGTACAGGGATGGAGAGGGTGGCCTTTCTCCTTCTGTGTGGGAAGGAAAGGCAGAGATGTCTAGCCCAGGGAACCACAAAACACAAAACAAGCTAAGGAACAGAGGGGTCCATCTAAAGCCACACGGGGCCTCCGCTGACTGACCCCATGGCTGCAGCTGGCACCGGTGTTAGCCGGTGTATTCACCTCCCGGGAGTGCTATGACCGACCACCAGAAACCTAGTGGCTTAAAACAATACCCATTTATTCTCTTCCAGTTCTGAAGGGTGAAAGCCCGAAATCAGTTTCAGTGGGCTCAAGGAGCAGGGCCAGCTCCTTCTGGAGGCTCCAAGGGAGAAAGGATTGTCTCATCTTTTCCCACTTCTAGAAGCTACCTGTGTTCCAGATGCTTCTAGAAGCTGCCGGCTCCTGACACCTTCCTCACATTTCTCCAGACTTGCTCCCATGATCACATGTAAAGCTTCTGTGACTCTCTTGCCACCTTCTTCTAAGAACCCTTGTGATCACACCTGGGTAATCGGGTACTTTCCCCATCTAGAGACCTTTATCGTGGTCACATCACCAAGTCCTTTGATCACATAAAGTAATATTCACAGGTTTTGGGGATTAGAATATGGATCTCGGTGGGGGGGGCGTTACTCTGGGGGTTACTGCAGGCAGGTAACCTCATGTGCAGGCTTTTCACGAACGTTCCTGGAGCCAGGCACTGGTGAGGGCTGTGGAGACAACACACAGACACCCAACAATGTGGTGAAGAAGATGGGGCCATGCACACGTGTTCTAGAACCAGGGGGCATGGAACCAACACCCAATGAGGCTTGAGCTAAGGCCTGTTGGAGAGACAGAGGGAGGTGAGACAGGAAAGGAAACTGGGACGCAGAGCACAGAAGACCTTGAAGAGCAGGTTGGAGAGTTGGGATGTGAGTCCCTGGAGGGCCTGTGATTCCCATGCCCGGCAGTTACAGAGAAGCCCCAGCAAGGCCAGGGACCCATCGGATAAGGGGGGGCGACCATGTGGCACCCACTAACAAACTGAGCCTTATCCGAGCTGACCTGTGAAAGAGGCCCCGAGGCACTTCCAGTGCTCCCCTTCCATGAGACAGAGATAGCAGCTTTGCAGTCTGACGGGCTGGGTCTACACCCCTCTTACCAGCCCTAGGGAAGTCACTCCGCTGCCCTGACTCAGTTTCCCCACTTAGGAAACGGCACTCTTAAGACTTGCCTAGCCTCTTCGCAGAGCCAGATGTGCTGAGGTGCGCAGCAGACTCCAGAAGTAAACAGCCTGGACTTAATGTTAGTTTCAGCGGGAACTGAAATGAACCAGAAAATCACGGCACTCCAGATAGTAAAGATGATCTAACCTGAGCAGTCCCACCTCACAATCAGCTGGGAGGTTTTACTAAGATAAAATCTAATAAAAGGAAGTCTAATCTCACAGCCAGGGTTGGAGAAGCCCACCCTTTATGTAAAGCTCAGAGAGGCTGTGGGACTCGGCCAAGTGGCGGGGGGGGCACCCTCTCACCCACCCAGCTGAGCATTGAGGGGGTGGGATGGGGATGTAGAGACTGCAAAGGCACCAGCCGTCATGGGGAGAGAGCAAAAAAAGAGGACAGAGTAGAAGGCCACCAGATGTGGGGGTGAAACCAGGTGGGCCCTGCTCCACAGGAGCCAAAGTTTTCCCATCCCACAAAAAACAAGAGCTGGAGGGCAGGAGATACCCTCAGAAACACAAGCCAGACCCTTGCTAGGTGATCTCTAGGCAAAGGCCCCCATTTAGAAGGGCAGCCTGGTGCAGACCAACTTAAGCCTGGTCTCTGGGGTGAAAGGTTAATTCACTATCATAACCCCTTTGTTCTCGATACAGAAATAATGGCTCATATGTTCATTATAAATTGCTCCTTCTCCCTTCTGCCACTGGATAACGTGATTTATATGAGATTTATGATTTATATAAAAACTCCAGAATGGACTTGAGAAATATCATCAGAATCCCTCCTTTAATAGATGGGGAAAGAGAGGGCCAGACAGAGAAGGGATAGGGTCAGCCTCACTCAGCTGGTCCAACACTAGAAAGTGCTGCATGTTTCTAGCATTATTCCAGTGGTGAATCTGGGGTCAGGAACACATGGGAGATACACTGGGTCAGATACACAACAAATCTGACCTTGCAGGTAGAGCTCTCTGTGTGCAAATGAGACTTGACCCACAGGCTCTCCACCTGGCACACTGAAGCCAGAGGTTGAGGACCCCAGAGTGTTGAAGGAACATGGACCAAACCTAGGGCCACTCTGCTAGTCACCATCACTAGAAAGTGAGGACCCCCAGGGGGCTAGGGGATGGGGTGTAAAGGCTTTAACATCCTCTCAGCCTCCTGGTGTCGGCCCTGCATGTAACCAGATTGAGACGTGGGCATCCCAGTGGGATGCGACAGGGCTGAGGGAAGCTATCCCAGAGCCTTCCCACAGGGCCATCCAAACTAACCAAGGGCCTGTGTCTCTGTGTGCTCTCCAGGAACAGCCCCGGGCTCCAAGATGGCCTTGCAGAGCTCCTTCACCTGCTGGAACGGGACCATCCTCCAGCTCGGGCAGGCCTGCGACTTCCACCGCGACTGCGCCCAGGGAGAAGATGAGGGCCAGCTGTGCAGTGAGTAGATGGGGGTGCCCCACCGCCCCAGCCCAGCCCACGCCTACAGCCCCCTGCCCCCATCACCCCAGGCACATGAGCTTGGATACCTTTCCTCACGTTCTGTGCCACTCGCGTCCTCTCAGTGGTGACTTCCAAAAGCTACATAGTCTTCAAGAGACAGAGCCGAGTTACGACCTAAATAAGATCTTGTAAATTATGCTGGCAGCATCCTCGTGGCATAGAGGAGATGTGCACCATAAAGCCTGACTCAGGAACATGACATTAGAAGCCCTCTATACCCACACTCCCCACCCTCTTCGGGCTTTCTCTTCCACCGCCCACCTGGCCCTCCCATCCGCCCAGGGTTCCATGTGCCCCAGCGCCAGGTGGGTCAGACCGCTTCTCCGTGGCTTTGCTCGTGCAGTACCCCTGGTCCAGAAGGCCCTTTCCTTCTCTGGTCATATCTGCTCTTCCAAGACTCACCTCTAGGGCGCCTGGGTTGCTCAGTGGGTTAAGCATCTGCCTTTGGCTCAGGTCAGGATCTCAGGGTCCTGGGATCGAGTCCTGCATCAGGCTCCCTGACTCAGCAAGGAGCTTGCTTCTCCCTCTCCCTCTGCCCCACCACTCATTCCCTCTCTCTCTAAGAAATAAAAAATAAAACCTTAAAAAAAAAAAAAAAAGACTCCCCTCCAGAGTCAGTCCTTCTGGGAAGGCTCTTCTGATCATTCCCACAAACATCTCCCCAATACAGACAGTCGTTTCTTCTTCCTCTGCTCCCCTCGATGTGCTGCATCCATGCATCCCCCATACGTCCATTATTTTTCTGCTAACAGCTTTTTAGAACTATAATTCATATACCATTCAAGTCACCCATTTAAAGTACACACTTCAGTGTTTCTTAGTCTGGCCACCATCACCACAATCTAATTTTAGAACATTTTTATCACTTCAAAGGTAACCCCGAGCCATCTTTCCTCATTTCCCTCCAATCTCACCTAGCCCTAAGCAACCCCTAATCTACTTTCTGTTTCTATAGATTTGCCTATTTGGGGCATTTCATATAAGCGGCATCACTCGGTTTGTATTCTTTTGTGGTTAACTTCTTTCACTGGGCGTCATGTTTTCAAGGCCCATCCCTGTTTGTCCTGTGTAAGAACTTCCTTCCTTTTTACTGCCAAATACTGTTTCTGTGTACGGCTACTCATCTGTTCGTCATCTGATGTCCATTTGTGTTGGTTCTACTTTCTGGCTATTACGAATTATGCTGCTTTGAACATCCAGGTACACATTTTTGGATGGACACATACTTTCATTTCTCTTGGGCATCTACATAGGATTAAATTGCTGGGTCAGCTCTGCATTTAACACTTTTAAAAACTTCTAGGCTGTTTTCCAAAATACTTAGGCCATCTGACCTTCCACCAGTAATGTATAATGCCTCTAATTTCTCTGCAACCCTGTCAATACTCATTGCGATGTCCTTATTTGTGCCAGGCTAGCGGGTGTGCACCCATTCCATTTCACAGAGGTGGTTTCCATGTCTGTCTCCCTCTCTGTGGGCAAACTGAACCTGGTACTCTCCCCCATACCAGTATCTCCTGGCACAGCATGGGGGTCACTAACTACTTGTTGATTTAACATGACTAAATGAGTTGGGAAATTTGGTCCCCATAGACAAAACCAATTGCTGAGGTCAGCTGGGGACAGTTAGACTCCCAGGCTAGTGCACACTCCACCTGAATCCGGTGTTCTTAGCAGTGGCCTGGCTCAGAGTATACACACGTGTACCAGGGGAACCACAAATACTTATAAAACCCATACATTATGAGCTAGAAAATGTACTAGAGCCTACAGCAGAGATGAATAACACAGGCCCCATCTTCATAGTGCTGAAAATCCAGCACAGGCACAGGGAGTAAGACCGCAGAGTCGCAGTAGGGAGCGGATGCATGCCTGGGGTACGATGGGGCCCAGACACAGGAGCAAATGCCTCGCCTCCCAGATACACTGGCCCTAAGACACTGTGGCCTGCAAAATGGCTTTTAAAATTAATGGTATCCCTCACATCATCTGGAAGACAGATTTTTTTCCCTTGGGGGGAGCCAAGGATTTATTTATTTTCTTTTAAATGAAGCAATAAGGAAAATCCATTTTTCAACTTGAAAACTTCCTTTTCATATAAAACTTCCTAATGAAGTTTTCCGGTCATGATGGAATTGTGGCTGTTTAGATAAAACTTAGTCAAGACTTGCAGGTAAGCCCTTTGTTTATCCCACACTGGTCCTGGACTTTCTCACAAAGTTCTCAACTATGCATGTGAATCAAAATGAAGCCAGCCCACCCACGTTGCCCTGGGCAGGGGTCTGTGTGTGTCTCTCTAGTTATTGGTCCCTAAAGAATTTCCAGCAGTGCATCTGAGCTGTGTGATTTTGTTTTTCCCTTTTTAAAGGGAAAATCCACTTTGATACCACTTCCCAGCTTGGGCACAGGTCAGGACGGCCATACCCTGATTTACAATTGGGAAAACAAAAGCACAGAGAAGGTAATTGATTTGTTCAGGGTCACACAGCATGTCAGGAACAGAACCATGATTAAAGCACTGAGTCTGTGGGATCCAGCCCATTACTGTGGGCTCAGGGCATTTTCTTACCTTTCTGGGCCCGCCATTAGTGGATTTCCTTGGCCAGCTCCAAGCTTGAGGACAGCCTATCTTCTGTATGGAGGGCAAGTTCCTAGGGCCCAGAGGCCTTTCCAGCCACACTTGAAAAGCTGCTCTGACCAGCTCTCAGAATGACAGCTCCACCCCGGAGGATCCCCCCACTGAGTTCTTTGCTACAGAAATCAGTTGCTAGGAGGAGAAGTTCAATTCAGAAGGAGGGTTATTTCAATCTTTTTCTCCTCTGATCTCAGCAGTACTCTTAGCAAATATCCTTTTTCTTTTTAGCGTGCCCCATTCTGTGTGGCATCATTGCAGTTCTCCCTATCACATTGATTGATGTTGATTCTAGAAAACATCCCCATAGGGAAGAAAAAAATGATAATGACAGCGATGATGATGATGATCACGACGATGATGGCTAACATTTATTGAACATTTACTGTGTGCCAGGAACTGTCCAAATACTTGTCATGTATGAACTTATTTTGTCCTCAGAATGATCCTATGTGATGTTATTATACCCATCTTAGAGATGAGGAACCTCAAGTCCATGAAACTGTTAGCCAGTGGCTGAGCAGCAGCTCAGACCCAGTCTGAACCACTGTGAACCAGACTCATTTGTTATATGAGTTTCCAGTGGTTGGTTGTACCAAGCACAACACTAGCTACATATCTACCCAGGAAGAAGGGGAGGAAGGGAAAAGTCAAGGAGGGTCCAGAGCTCTGCCACAACATTGTCCTGTAGGGAGAAGGGGGCTCAGATCATTCGTCTCCACCCTCTGGGCCTATTTCCTCACCTGTAATATAACCTATAACATGATGCCCGCTGATATGTTGATGTTTGTGTTGCATTTAGGACAATGGTCTTGACATCACCTGGTCCTTCCCAGCTAGTCTGGAACCTGTTAGAATGTCTTCTCTGAGAAAGTGGTCACCCAAACCTTGTTGGTAATGTCCAATTCTAAGGAACCCCCATGAGTGAGGGTCACTAACCTCTGGCCAGGGTAGTCCACTAAGAGCTGCCATCATTGAAATTTGGAGGGGAAAGTAGGTTGGATCCCATGAACTCCCAGCCTTAACTCCCCATACTTGCTCCAGAAGGAAGTCCACATACGGCTTTATTCAGATAATCACACTCAATCCTGAGCACCATTGCAAGCCAGGACAAAGAGGGTACCTAAAGTGCAGGTGGCATTGCCTTTGCCTCCCTGCATCCATCATGAATATGTCCATTCACATCACATCCTCCAAACCACATACCACATGCCATCCTCCTTCCCTCCTTCCACTTAAACATTGCTGATCCAAGTGAGGTATCCCAGAATTCAGGTTCCCACCAAAGGATGTCTTCAGGGTTCCCTGTGTGTCAAGCCATAGCGTCAATGGCATGTGACTCACCAGAAAAGGGTCAGGATCTCCCCATTTCCTCCCCTAATGGGTCATTGACTCACTGAGTAATCTGGGCAGCTTGCTTCCCCTCCCTGTACTCTGTTTCATGGGGACACTCTTCCTGCCAGGCCAAAAAACAGTTTTTTAAAGTTTATTTCTTTATTGTAAAATAAAACATATTGGCTGTAAAATATTTGGAAAATCTAGAAAAGTACACAGGAGAAAATAACTATCACCCATAATCCTCTCAGACATTCAGAGATAACCATAATATGGTGATGTATTTCTTCTAGCATTTTTTTCCCATGACTCTATATTTTCAAGGAAACATATAACACATATTTATCAAAAATGTTAACAGAGCTGTCACATAGAAAGGAAAAGAAGTAGTGTCATTTGGCCTGGAGTTTACACTTGGCAGCTTCCTGCTGCTCCTACTGAGGCCGCATCTTTGTGACTCTCCCAATCTGTCTCTCTTACGCTGGAATCAGGTGTCATAATTGCCAAATATTGCAGGATGGATTGGCCCCCACGTAGGCTGATTTGGCCATCCAGCCAATGAAGTAAGAGGTTCCGTTAGGGCAGTGTTTCTTGGCCACTAAACTGCATAGGAACAACCTGGAAAATGTTAGAAATGTGGATTCTCACTCAGCAGGCAGTGATGGGGGTGGTGCATGGCCTGAGAGTCAGCACTTCTAGCAGTTTCACCTGTGATGGGGAGGTGGGTGTGGCTGGTTCCTGCACCACATTTGGAGTAGAAAGGGGTTAGATGACTGAACCCATGCCCATTTCATTCAGCAAATAAGTATTTCAGTCCTACAGTGCACTGAGCCCTGAGTAGGCACTTGGGGTGAATGAGAGGAGAAGGCCATGAGTTGAAACCATTGGACTCAACTCTGCGCAACAACATTGTGCTCAGCCATTGGCCCTGGCAGTAGTGTTCCAAACCTGGCCTAATCCATCAAGGGTCTTTGTTTGGAAGCCCCCCACCCCACCAGCTTCCTTAGAAGTGGCTTCTCGTTGAGCACACAATGGGTTATGTTGGCAAGAACAGCAATCCTTTCCTCCTATACCCCCTCCCATCCTGCAAGGCTTTCAGGGTCACATAAATTGTCTGTTGACCCAACTAGTTCACCTACCTCCTCTCTCTTTATTCAAGCAGCCAAAAAGAAAGGGGCTCCCAATCCTGGCTCACCCTGGATCTTAGGGAAAACCAGCACAACAATGGGCTTCCAGAAGGTAGAGAATGCCAGTGGCTTTCCTCTTTCCTGTCCAAGAAGGAAGGGATAGGCAGAGCTACCATAGGCATTTCCAGAAAGTCAGCAGAGGGATCGGTCTCCACCCCCAGGACGGTGCTGGCTATTTCAGTTCATCCTCTGATGAGTCCCCTGCACCAGCAGTGATCGGCAATTAATAATGCCACCACCACTCTGTCCACGAACTCCGTCTGCTTACAGAACTCCACACTCTCTGCCTTATTTGACCCTCACAACAACCCTGTGAAATAGACACTCACATCACCCCAGCGTACAGACGATGGAGCTAGGGCTCTGAGGAAAAGAGGTGACTCACACGGTAGAATCCAGCTGGTTAGGGTTAAAGCCAGGTGTCCAGATCCCAGGACTGTTGAGGCTAACTGCTCTGTGTCTGCCACCTAAAAGGGGGAGGAGGGAGTGGTAAGCTGTGAATACTTCAACCCAGCCCTGCCTCCTCCTACTACCAGGAGCCATTGCCTGCTAGGATATTCCTTCATGGTCCCTGGTTTATGGCACACTTGTAAAGGACGCTTTGTGGAAGGTCACTTCCAGCTACCAGTTAGTTTTTGCGAAAGAAGTGGATGTGGGGGTCCCTTGAGGGGGCATAAAAAATAAAACAGAAAGATCTCCTTCGCTTTTGGATTTTTAATCAGAGGAACATGCGGGGCTTGGGGGGAAAATGATTTCTTCAGGGGGGTATAAATGGGAAGAGATGCTCAAAGTCAGTGACAGCTGGTTTTAATTTATAATTCTGCCTCTGTGTGAAATGCACAGAGAATCAGGGGGAAATGAGTAATAATTCACTAAGGTGCTATCACAGCCAGGAAGCGTTAGGGCCCTCTTTGTCAGCCTGCCATTGCCGGGAAGGCTGAGACAGAGGAAGGACACAGAGCGTGGTGGGTCCAGCTAGAGCCCCTTTCCTCCTGCTCAGAGACATAGTCCTGCTCCTTCTCCCCAGCCTGGCCTGGGGCTGTTGGTGCAGTTGGTGGAATAGCCTAGAATGGCCCACTAGCTCTTTGGGGCTGAGTGCCTTCCCTGCAGCCATTGTTTGAGCAAGCCACAGAAAGTGAGCTTTCTGACCCTCTTCTCCTTCCCTCCTCCTTCTGCGGGCACTTGGGAAATATATGGTCATAAAGCTGACTGTGGTCTTTTCAATGGGACCCGAGGTCAGCCTGATGCAGAGAAAAGGGTAACAGGGCCCTTTATGCTGAGCCAACAGATGATATAAAGGGGCCCTGTGGCTGGCATTGCTTGGCCAGGGTAAGGTAGATTAGAGCAGTAATAAGCCAGCCCCAAATTTCAGGGGCTTAACATAACATTTACAGTATTTGCGCATCAAAGCAGGGGGCTCCACAGGATCTCTCGGGGTGCCAGACTAGCAGGGGCCCTGTCATCAGACAGCAGCAGTCTTAGGAACAAGAGCTCCCCTTGGCCTCTTCAGCAGGGAGAAAGACTGAAGAATTGCATGAGGGGCTCTCTGCAGCCTCAATCCAGAAGCGACACACATCACTTCCACGCACATTTCATGGGCCAGAGCCACTCATGGTAGCTCCTGTCACTGGAAGAGAGGTGGGAGATAAAGGGGGACAAGTAGAAAGTTTGAGCAATATGTTTCTCTGCAGACGGGAGTGATTGAGGGACCCAGCCAAGTCCCACCAATACTGCCACTGCCATCATCACATTCTTGTCACTGTGTCAACCATCAGAAATGTATTCCAGTGCCTTCTCCCAGGGGCACATTCATGGTGAATCAGAATAAGGAGCACAGATTTAGAAGCAGAAGATCTGGGTTCAAGCCCAGCTGTGTTACCTACTGGTTGTGTGACCTCAGTCAGATTGCTTAACCTTCCTGAGCCCTTCTCTGTCACGTATAAAACTGGGTTATTTCCCTGCTACCACACTATTATTATTATTATTATTACTACTACTATTTTATTTTCTGAAGATCACGTATACATGTTAGGGACTGGGCCTTCTTTTCATTGTTATCAGTATGGTTAGCCATTGAGGTTCCAGCCTGGGAGCTGTAGTTATTGAAGATACTTGGATCATGCCTGACTAATATTAGTTGACATTAGCGTCTTTTGCTTTCAGCAGTCCCAGAAATGACCGTGCCCTTGTGCTCTCCCTGCAGGTAAACTCCCTGCTGGTTTTTACTGCAACTTCGAGGATGGCTTCTGTGGCTGGACCCAGGGCACACTGTCACCCCACAACCCCCGGTGGCAGGTCAGAACCCTGAAGGATGCCCGGGACCAGGACCACCGAGGTACTGCTGCTCTCTTCCCTTCCCCCGGTGCACCTCTGTCAAGACAAGAGACTTAGGGCCCTACCCCAGAACAGCTGGGCCTCCCCACCCCTGCAGGGCAAGGCCAGAGACCTCCCAGAGCTTGCCTGGGGTGCTCGCTCACAATTCCCTCTTTAGACTTTCCGGGCTTCAGAATGATCAAATTAGGCCAAGGTAGATGTCACCTCTGATTCCCTAAAATAAGAACCTGGATGAAGGATTAGCTAAAAGATGAGAAGAGTGGCAACAATAGTAGTCATTCATTCATTTACTAAGTGTTTGTTGAGAACCTACTTTGTGACTGGCATGTATGTAACTCACTGAGAGGTAAGAAAAACCCTTGACCTTGTGTCATTGACCCAAGATTGTGCCCTGGAAACCCAGCCCCACATCTGGTCCATTCCCTGGAGCCCAGCTTCCTTAGCCGTATCCCCCATCCCGGCCCAGCTTAAGCTGGCAACTCCCACCTTCCCAGTGCTAGAGCCCAGCCTCCCTCTGCCCCTGCAGGGCTGCCAGAGGGACAAGGCCTCCACACACTCAAGAGATGGCCACCCACACCTGGGTGAGCTGATGCCCCGGGAGACATGGCTGGGGCATGGAATGAGGGAGGAATGAGGCCGGGGCCTGTGAGGCCAGCACAGCTCCCAAATTTGGGCTGCTGGAGAGGCCGGACCACCCAGCCATGTCCCCAGCCTTGGGCTCTACCCAGTGGCTAGGCAGGATAGAGCTGGGGTCAGGGCCAAGGGCCCTCTCTCACCTTCTCTCCCCTGCATTTGTCAGCTCTTTGTGGAGCTAGAGCCCTGAACCAAATCCCTCCCTTTCCAAGTGAAGATCATACACCCTATAGATCCCTTTAAGAATTAATAATAGTAATAGTGAAGATGCTCAAAGCGTGAGAGAGGACAGTGTCCAGCGCGACCACCAGGGATGCCAGAGCCCATGCAGTCCTGTCCTTGGCCCTCAGAGCTAACTGCACCTGAGCAAGCTGGCTTTGGCAGTGAGGAAGAAGACTGGGTTACTGCAGCCATGGAGACTTTCAGCAGGGACGAGAGCCCAGAGCTCCTACTTCCCCTCCCGGCCTCCTCACCATTCAGCATCACCTCAGCACCTTGTGGAGGATAAGAGAACAGAAATGGGGCTCAAAGCAAGACATGATCTTCATGTCTCTGCTCTCAGCTGCGTAGCCTCCCTTGGCACCCATAGCAAGTGGGTGACATACGTCTAGGGACAGGGCCCTCATGGCTTCCTAAAGTCATCCCTTCCATTGATGGCTGCAACAAAAGACCAGTCTTCCTTTCTCAGAGATAAGCTTCACCTCCCTATAAATTCTACTTATGGATCATACTTTCTGTCTCCTGGAGCCCCTCGGAACTCTACTCTTCCCTTTCTCACCAAAGAAGCCCCTCAGATATTTGAAGACACTGCTTGTGTCTTTAACGCTGGGGGCCTTTCTCTCCCTAGTCAAAGGTTCTTCCTCAAGGATGGGCCACATGAGTTCTAGGATTTCTGACCTGTCTTGGATACTCTGCTCTGGACCCACTTGAATTTGTTACTTAGTAGTAACCCCAAAACAGTCTTTACTAAGAGAGAAAAGCAGAAGTGAATAACATCATGTGTAGGGTTCTGTGGGGTAAAGATTTCGGGAGCACCCTGGCACCCATTTCCATAGCACTGACCACCCGAAATGCTCTGTAGTCCCTGGAGATTTCCAGATGCTTCTTCCCTACCATGTGGGGTTGGGAGCTTGTGTTCTCCCAGGTTTACAGACGGATCGTTGAGAAAACACAAGCAATAGATTTCCTCATCAGGTCATGGGGCACAGGATGACCTGGTGGAAGAGAGTGAAAGTCATGGAGACCAGTGGAGGGCAAAGGGCTGGCAGGGCCAGAAATGGGAGGGGTGGGGGTGGGAGAGTCCAGCGTGCTTCAGGCTGCTCCTGGGCTATGGGCTAAAGCTGGTGACCTGGGGAGATGAAAGGTACAGTAGCCCAGATGTATGATGCTGGGATATTGCAGGGCATTTGGAAACCTTTGCATGAGCCAAGTTTTGTTGACAGTGACAAGTAAACTGCCTTATCCATTGGACAACAGAAAGCTGTGTCCTCAAAGATGTTCCAAGTCTAGAGAAGAATGATGCAGAGCCCATTAACCCTGCACCCTGAGGCACTTCAGTGCAGGAAGACAGTGTGTTTCTGACACTTTTCCTCTCTGCCCCAGGCCATGCCCTGTTGCTCAGCACCATGGACAGCCCTACTTATGAAAGTGCTACAGTGACCAGCGTGACATTTCCCGCCCCGATGAAGAACTCTCCATGTGAGGCAAGTCTCAATGTTCCCCTCATTCTTGGACTGGTCCTCCCACCCCTCACCTTGGGTAATTCCAGCCGAACTCATAAGCAAAGTAGCCTGAGTAGTAGGGCTGCTTATTCTCCTGGGGAGAAGATAAGATGGCATTTTGGTCATCTTTGACGCGGAGGGCATACACCAACACGGTGAAGTCCTATCTGCAGAGAATCTGGCCTTAAACACCCACACGCACCCACACTGGACTCTTTGCAGTGGGGTCTCGATTGAAGCAAACCCAGAAAATATTTCCAAGGCATAACATGGGAGGGTAACAGTGATCTACAAAACAGTGATCTACAAAAGACCTGCTGCAAAAGCCTGTTCATAAACATCAAGCTCTTGTGATACATTTCAAATTTTATAGAGCATCAAAATTTGATCTACATAAATTTCACTAAGATATGGGTGGCATTCAGTATGGTACCTCCAAAGCCACTGACCTGAATGGTTCCTGTGGCTGTAACATCTTTCGTGTGTGGACTGAGGGGCTTGACATGTTTTTTTTAGCTTAAGGTCATCATCTCTAGAGAACAAGAAATGTGCTTAGACCCAAACGTGGCCCAGTGATTAAGCTCATGGACTCTGGAATCAATTGCCTGAGTCCAAGTATGTTCCACCACTGATCAGCTATACAGTTTATTTGGGAAGTTAATAGCCTTTCAGGGCCTCAGTTTTCCCACCTGCAAAGTGGGCACAATAGGAGTGCCTACCCCACAGAGGAAAGGGTTAAATAGGTTAATATGTACTCAGGGCTCATCACAGCGCCTGGCACAAAGTATTCATGACAGTAGTTAGCCAACAGTGCCTGGCACCCTGAGGAAACATAGGTAAGGAGAATGGGGAAGGAGGGAAAGGACATGAGCCAAAACCAGATTCCAAGTTCTCCGAGAGCTCTGCACACCTCTGCTTCTTTTGTACCACCATCAACATCTTAAACTGAGTAGAAAGCCAACACGTACTTTAGATTTGGCTGGTCTTCTCTTTCTGGAAACTCACAGGAGAAATCCCTCCCTGGCTTTGTTTCAGGAATAGCTACGTGTCCCCTGAGCAATTTGTTTCCTTTCAAGCTGTGGCCTGTGTGAAACTGACCAGACTCACTTCCCCTGCACCGGAAGCCCCGAGGAGATGTGGGGAGACGGGCTTCTGTCACTCAGTGACACAGCTCAACTCAAGCCCTCCAGGCTTTTTGTGAGATACAAACCCACAGGCAAACACAAATAAGAATGGAAAAGACGTATCCGTGGTGATTTGTTTTGTTTTTTTAATTGGAAGAATGGTCAAATTAAATCTGAGGTTCCCCTCTTAGTAAGCAAATAGGGGTTCATGGTGTGTAGTCTGTGACAGCCTTTCTCTTGGCTGGATTTTCTAGGCCAGCGTTTGGCCAATTTCTCCCCCTCTTCTAGTTAGTTTATGTTTCCTTACTAGATTTTATGTATCTCTGTGAGCCACCTTAAGTCCTTTTTGGAAGAAGTCAGGGCACAAATAAATAGATTCATTACGTGGAATCACATCGCTGACTGTGCCTCCCAGCAGACCCCCAGGAGGGAAGGCTTCCGAAGAGGGAAGTCTAAATGAGGAGAGGTGGTTGGCCTTCCTGAGAGTTCAGGGAGATCCTTAAAAGCATTTGATTTTTTTAAATGTATTCTTCCGTAGATTTACAGTGAGCCTAATTTTAGAGTAAGAAATGTCAAGGTTAAAAATGCTATTTTTCTAATACTTCATCATTTCCCTGATAACCTTTGGTTGATCAATAGCTTAAACAGGTGTTTTGTTTTACTGGCCTGTTTTATTCTCCCTCTAGTCAAATTTGCTCTGGGCTATTTCTATTTCCTGCCCTTTTCCAGAACTTGGCTCAGCAGGAGTAATGAAGGGAAGGTAGTGAGTACGTTCCATTCTTAGCGCACAGCTAGTTCATATTCATCTAGTGCTGATGGGTCCCGAATCCCCAGTGTTGGGGGAGATGTTTTCATCAGAAAAATAAATAACCAAAATAGAAATATGCATTTCCAGGTTTGTAAGCCTTGCCGTTTATTTTACTCAGATCCTAAATGCAGAAGGCGGCAAGTTGATTTCCTCCTCCCAGGTTGCCGAACATCAGTGACAGGGGATGGTGCATTGCTATGTGAACTGTGTGGGATTAACTCGCAGCCTTCAAACACCACTAACTCGAAAGGGGCCTTTGCTGGCCATGGGGACGGGTCCAGGAAGGGGACACAAGGCAGAGATGGGGGAAGGTCTCAGATGAGGGTTAAGCTCATGGGGGCCAAGAGTCTGGCCAAACTCCAGGGCTGACTCCCAGCACTGAGCATCTCCTCTAAGCGCAGACCAGTCCTGGAAGCCCTTAGGTCCTCCCAACTCTTGGGACTTGAAATAATTGCAGGATATCTCAAAACGCTTCCTCAAGAAACCCGACAACCATCAGTGGATCCCCGAAAGGGAGCTGACATCAATACCTTCTGTGCATTTCCTTGAAAATCTAGATATAACCTGACTAGGTAGGCCTCTGTTTCTCCGGTCGCCAGCACTTAGAAAATGCGATCATTGCGGATTCCTAGGTTTTACCCCAAGCCTCCCCGAGGACACCCCAGAGAGGGGCCTGGGAATCTATATTTTCCGAACCTCCTCCTCCCCCCCCCCGCCCCCGCCAGCGATCTGGAAGCACACTGACACTCGGAAATAATTGGCCAGAGATGTGCCTGCCAGTTGTAACCGAAATTCATTCTGAGTCTGTGCAGAGAGTTTTCCTCCACTACCTGTGATGTAACTTGCCTTTTGGAGAGATGAGTCAGAAGTGGTGAGAAATGACAAGGTGGGGGACAGAGAGAGAGACAGAAGGGGCAGGGAGAGTAGCACACTGGGAGGCAGGTCAGATGCCCACCGATCAGTCATGGAGATGTAGCCAGGACATTCCTCTGTGCCAGTCAGCTTCCCAGGTATTCCAGAATGCCGCTGGCTCTAGCCTCCTGCCCCCGATGCCCGCAGTCACCACCCCTGGCCCTGCGCGTCTCCCTGGCCCGGCCTGTGCAGGCACTGCCTTCTCCTCCCTCCCGCCATACAATTGCATACAAGCCATGAATATTTAAAAACCACTGCCTAGCCCAGCTACAAAAGAGAGGGTTGTATCTTTTTTTTTTTTTTGCCTCCCCCAAGCTATTCTCTGCGGGAAACTGGAGAGCCACTTACAATATATAGGTTTTATTTTTATTTTTATTTTTATTTTTACCTTTATTTTTATTTTTATTTTGCTGAGCTCCAGTTCAAATAATTAAAGTTGCCACGGGGGAGGGGAGCCTTGCGGTGGCTTTCGTGTGTTCGCTCACTGTCAGACCTGCTCTGTCCGCCTGGGCTGGGAGACACACTCGGATGTGTCTAGCATCGCAGCTGCTGGTAATAAAGAGGACGGGGAGAGTCGGGAGGGGGCCTGTCTCCACCCCTCCCCCTGCCTTTCACACAGCCCAGAAGCCTGAATGTCTCAACAAGCCCCGTGCGGTTTGAAATTCTATTTTATTTGAATAGCCTGCCTGTGACTGGAATATTTTAAACCGTCTTCTCAGGACAGAACAAGGCCTGGGGAGAGAAGAAGTAGGCTTCCCTCATTCGCTTTCCCTCTCCAAAGCATGGAAGCAACTTTCCTTCTCCGAGCTGCAGGAATGAAAAGGGCCCAGGAAGTGGGATGGGACCCACCTGGTGGGTGGTGACACCCACGGGCAGGGGAGTTCCCAGCTGCTGGTTTTCTGACCTTGCCGGAGCCACAGCCACCTCGGTCCTGCCCCCACAAACATGTGCATGCCCAGGGACATGCCCCCTGGGGCCTTTCTGCCCCTGATATCAGCCCTGCGGTGATAATGGGATCAGCTTCCATTAAGCTGGGTCTACTGAGATGAGGACAGAAGGCCACCAGCAGGCTGGGGAACTGGCCCGCAGGGAAGGAGCTCTCCATTCGGTGTCATTGAAACCAGTAAATGTGGTCCAGAGGGACGTGGGAGAGCAGCCTGGCATCTGAACTTGCCCTCCACCATCAGCTAAGCCTGGCACAAAGCCCCACTGAGAAGGGCCTCCTAGGGTAGTTAGGGCCCCGAAGGCTGGCAGCCAGGGAGTTTTTCAGCAAATTGCTCTCTGGTTGACTTGGTGAGACTTTTCAGGATGGCAGACATCATTCCTGGACACAGGGCCCGTATCCAAAGTAGATAAGCCATACCTGATGTCCTTTGGGTTTAGGTAAGCTGACCCCACTCTCTCCCCAGGGGGCAGACGAATCGGACTTTCAGACAAGATGCAGAGACGTGTTTTTCTGACTGTTTAAAGCATTTATTAAACTCAGTGGCAGAATCCTCCGTGGAAAGGCAAAAGACAAGGATGAGCAATCATAATTATTATAGGATGGCTTGAGGTAGAGGAGAAAACAGAAGGAGAAGACTCTTCCTTCAGCAGCCCCCGCTGATCTCTCGACAAGGGCATTCTGCTTGGCTGGCTTTACAGAGCCGGTCTGGGTGCGGGAGCCGGTCTGGGTGCGGGCACACGCGGGCCTGCCCAGGGTGGGAGCGGGCCTTCTCAGCCAGGCAGGAGAGGAATGTACCCAGAGACGTAGGAAATGCAAAAACAAGAGCAAACCCAGACCTTTCAGTCCAACCCTCATGCTCTTTCTGTCACATTGCCCTGCCCCCGGGGCTATAGCAGTGTTGGGGGTGGGAGGGTACCTTCTCCACTTGCGGGGCACTGGCTGCCGTGGGCCTTACTCAGAGCCCCTGCCTGCTCCCCACAGACTCCTCGTCTTTGGAGGCAGGAAGGAGACACCGCCCCATTTTGTAGCAATCCAGTAAGCCACTTAGCCTCTCCCCAGGCTGAGACCAGTCGCTGGGCCAAGTTCCTGAGTGGTCGACGGGACATTGTCCTCACCGAGAGGACCCGGAAGATGTGTGCCTTGTGGGGGCCTTATTCTTTGCCCTGCGTGGCCTCATTTGTTTTAGCAAATC